TCCATAAGGTAGAAAAGATATGCAAATTCTTTCCAACCCCTTAGTGGGACTTCCATTCTGGGTCATGTGACCAGGAAGAAGAGCTTAAAACAGAGCAATTGGCTATATTCTGAGCCACTGGCCAATTGCTTTTCCCAAAAGGATGCATTCGAGGAAATTTTCAGGATTTTTTCCCCCCTCTGCAATCTCTGGCCCAGATTCAGGACATTTTTATATTAATCTTCTACTTCGCTTCTGTCTCTACCCCAAAGTTGGTCCTGTTCCATTCTGTTTTCAAACAATTATTCTTATGAAAGTCAGACAGGGAGTCCTAAGCCCCCTTATTTAATTTCTTTCCAACTTTCAATTGTGTTAGAAAGAAGAAAAATGACTTACATGACGATTAGATTTGTAGCTTAAATGAATCTATAAGAGTTGTCAGGCTTCTAGGAGAAGCTTTAACTGTATAACAACTTTGATTTAAATACAAAATTTTAGACATGTTATTAGGTTCCATTTGTAATTTCCTTTCTTTTGTATTGTGTCTTTTATCATTCAAAAATCATAATTACTGAGAAAAAGAAAAAAAATCCTTACACAGTGCTGCTTAGAATGATGTGTCTGAACACTCTTTGAATCGGAAAGATTCAGATTCAATTTATTACCACTTGTAATAAATGCAGAAAAATATTTCTGGCTTTGACCATAAGACTACTTTTACATTTATTTAAAATATTTTATACTGATTTGCAATATATTTGAATAAAAATATGAAATATAATTAAAACGGCAGCATGAAATATGTTAGATAATGCCACAATAAAAATATCTAAAAGAGAAGCTGAATATCCATTCATTTAAAAGCACAAGGTTACAAAAATTGTAAAACAACTCTAAAGTCAAAAACCCCAAATGTAATTGGAAACTCTTTTATACTGTAATTCCCTTTCTTTCTCTTCAGATCTCAAAATACTCACTGGCTCATCATCACATTTACCTTCTAAAATTTCTTATTATCTCTCACAAGTCATGAAGACTGCAGGAGAGAGGAAGATCAAAAGATGGTCATAGCACCATCACTCCAGTTGACATGCCTTGTTTGAAATCTCCACAGACTCCATTGGCAGCTTCACACAAGTAAAGGCACTGAGAAAAAAATGTCACATGACAAAAGTAAATTGATGAACAATATTATTTATTTCCTACAAGAATTATTATCTCACAAAATTTTCTAGGTACACAAGAGTGGAACTTTACAATGGCATTAATGAGAATAACCACTGGAACTCACTTGGAGAACAGTTTATGATTAGTGGACTACATTTTTTCGTTGGTCAAAATGGTATACAGTACTGTTAAGAGACCACAAGAGGACGCCTTCACTTTAGAGAACATTCATGATTGGAACTGGATAAGAATGCATAGCATTCCTCCAATTTAATTGTTGCATTTTTTCTTATTTTTCTTTGTGTTAATAAAGCTTTTAAAAGAATACACTTTCAGTTTTCTAGTTAGAAAGCTGGAGTGCTGAACTTCAATTGTCCAAGTTTAAACTGAAGCTCATGGGTGAGCATACTGAGTATTTTTGGATCCTGTACTCTTTCCTCAATCAATCCCAAATAGATACTATTCTAACAATATTGTTTCTACGTTTTTATCTTTTTATTGTTAATATTTAATATTTAGAAATATTTAAATCACAACTTATCTAATGTCAGTGTATTAAATAAGTGTAAGGAAGGGGAGCAGTGAGCGAGCAATTTTTCTTTTGGGAAGTTTTTATAAAATGTCTATTCCACTTTATCATTAAAAGCAATCTCAAAATTGATGGAAGATTTCCCATTTTAAAGGATTAATTAATTAATCTAATTGGAAAACCAACTGAAATTTAATATCCCAATTTTCTTTTTACCCCATTGAAAATTCATGAGAAAGGATCCTGCTTTTGCCTGAACTTTGCTACAGAATTTCAGCAGCATGATCTTGGGAGCCAGAAAGTTTGCAAAAACGGTTTCAGTGACTGGTTTCAGAACTGACTTCCAGTTCTAAAGTAGCTTACACCAAACTTGTTTTACTTGACTCTGTGTGTGTGTGGGTTTGTGCGTGTATGCCTGCCTCCAGATTGTGTTGACTCTTGGCAACTGCAGACAACTCCCTGCAGTTTTCCTGTCAGGATTTCGGAAGTGGTTTGCCATTGCCTGGTTCCTAGAGCTGCAAGAGAGTGACGGGCTAAGGGCACCCAACTGGCTTCATGACTAAAGTCAGACTAGAACTCAAAATATCCTGGTTTCTAGCCTAATGCTTAACCACTACACCAAATTCATAAGGCTCTCCTTATAAATTTAGTGGGCCATAATTCCAAAGACTGAAGTACAAGTTGCACCAACAAAATGCTTAGGGAAATTAAGTGTCAAAGGATTTAGTCTTTCTAAAGATTATGGGTGAAAATAATGGCAGAACAGCCTGCTGGTAAAACAACTTCCAGCTTAAGGAGAAAAAGTTGATGGTACAGTGAAAATGCAACTAGCGGCTAATTACTTGACAACTATCTGTGATCCAGCACTGTGAATTTTCTCACAGAATCCAGGTCAAATCTTTTGCAAACAAGAATCCATTATAAAAGAGGATTACAGCCATCAGAGTTGAATTGAGACCCGCTCATAAAATTGAGGGCTGAGGCTTCACTGAAGTCTACAAAAGCTACAAGCAGGGCCACTGGCCCCAACCCTTCATTTGACTTACCACCTGGTTGCCCAACTGCTGATTCCAGTTATTTGTAAAAATCATTCGCTGTGGGAGTTTTTAAAAGCTTTGATGATTTAGAGCTATTGTTAGTACCTGGGTGTGAATTGTGGCTCCCTGTCATCAGCACAAAAGGTAGGACAAGAGCTATTCCTTCTGAACTCAGATCAAGAAAGAAGGGGTGGCAAAGAGAGAGAAAAAAATCATTACCTTCAATAAGATCATCTAGTCTTATCTTTGGGTGGGTCAAGGATTGTCTTTCAATTCATACAATAACCAACACATTCAACTGAGGTTATCTTCTAAAAAGTATAACTACAATTCAGAGAACAAACCCTTCAAAAGCAGCTACATTTCCAATTATCATCGGTACCATCAGTCCTCAACTGGCTCATGTACAGTATCCAGTTGGAAAGAAATAGTAATTGGAATTAGTGCAACAGTGGCATAAAAGCTATGTTTTTCATCTTCCAAGAGTCTATTGGTTAACCTTGAGATGCATTTTACAAGTAACTCAAACTACCTATCAGTCTTTTTGCCAAACCAAGCAGCATGCACCTGTCAAGTCTCTAAGTCATATGTATCCAATCCACAGCCTGCAGGCCACAGGTGGCCCTAGGCAGCTAGTAAATGTGGCCCCACAAGATTGTAAACTTTTAACATTGTAATATATACACACACACACACACACACACACACACTTACTATATTATATATTTTATACATGGCCCAAGGCACTCAATGCAACCCAGGCAAGCCAAAACGTTGCATACTCATTCTCTAAGCTTTCCCTTCTTTGCACCTGCTTTTTTCAAAATCCTTTCAATGGCAGCAACAATATACAAGGTACTCAGATGTTTATCACTCATAGTCAATATGCAGTTTTTAGTTGATAATCTCCCACTCCTTCTGCATTGATCATTAAATTATCATAAGCTATCACAAAACATTACATTAAACACAAAGAAGAAATTATCTAGCAGTCTCTAAAGTCAAAAGGCTGGACATTATAAAAACAGGATGGCAAGATACTGGAAAATTTAGATTTAGGAAACCAAATCTAAAGCATTTTCAGATAGTTGTTCTACCCCCATTTAACAATCAGAGAAAAATACCTTTAGTGACTGCCTTACACAGTGAATGTTTGAAGTTACGACAGGGATGAAAAAGCAACTTTGCAACCAATCCTTTGCTGAAGTAAGATCATTTCACTTAGTGACTACTTAACATCTGAGTTGTTAGTCCCAACTATGACTGCTAAAAGAAGATTAGTTGTAAATTTCTTCCATTTTTCTTGATGCTAAAAATTTACCTAAGCAGAAAAATAAAAACAAATCTTGCTGCAATGTTTTCACTTCATTTATCTCCTATCTTTGACCTCAGGGAAATTTTGACCAAAGTTCCAACATCTGGTGTCTTTATGGTTAATATGTACTTGCAAATACAGAAATCTATTTCTATGATGCTATTATTATTTGAAGAATATTAAAAATATATTCCTTAAAATGGAACTTTAGCTAATTAATAAGAAATTAATGAAGTGCAAATAATGAATTGCCTTTTCTTTCCATAGATCAAATGCAGCTCCAGAACCATGTATGATTCTTGGCTTAATTTCATTCAATCCTCTGCCTAATTTCAAGCGTCTTCTGCAAATTATCAGATTTCTAGCAGCCTGCAAGAAAGCAAACTTGGTGACAAAAAGAGGAAGCCCTGTCCTTCAGCCCCAGCAATTTTTAAATTAATTATTAGACTTACATCCCATCTTTATTTTGTACAATTCAAGATGTTGTACATTAAGCTCCTGCCTATTTTTCTTATAACAACCCAATGAGATGGATTAGGTTGAGAGTGTAATTAGCTGTCCTCCAGGCAGCTCTGCAATGTACATATAGTCTTCTGAAGTGGTCTTTCCCGTAGGAGATCTCCAAAATATTGTAAGGAGAGTAACTCTGCAATTCATGTTTTTAAAATTAGTTAAATTTTGTAAATTTTCCATTTGTCCTTAGTAAACATTACAGGTAGTCCTCAACTTACAACCACAACTGAGCCCAAAATTTATGTTGCTAGGAGAGAAATTTGTTAAGTGGGCTTTGTCCCATTTTATGACTTTTCTTGCCACATTTGTTAAGTGAATCACTGCAGTTCTTAGTCACATAGCTGTTAAGTGAATCTGGTTTCTCCATTGACTTTGCTTGTCAAAAGGTCGCAAAAGATGATTACATGATCCTGGGACACTGCAACCATCACAAATACGCATCAGTTGCTCCAGCGTCTGAATTTTGATCAGGTGACCATGGGGATGCTGCAATGGTCATAAGTGTGAAAAACGATCATAAGTCACTTTTTTCAATGCCATTGTAACTTTGAACAGTCACTAAAAGAACTGTTGTAAGTCAAGGTCTCCCTGTAATTGCTTTTTTAATGTGCAAAAAAGATTTACAATAGCAGTCTCTCATTCTTGGAATTGCTAACTGAATGAGCTGATTTGTCCATAGTTTTTTCCTCTCACTGAAATCTTTCAAAGCTAATAAAAGACTTTAAAGATCTTGGAATTTTCACAATGAGGAAAAATTATAAGCTGCTCACCAAGTCCTTTGGTTTGCAAATATACCTCAAGGAAAACAAGCAAAGGACATATGGTATGTTTGAAAATCTTATGCAAGTCCCCATATCTCCCTGAAGCTAACTGGGACTACTTCTTTTCTTGTCTTTACCAGTCCCTCTCATGTGGCTCCCGGTAAGGCAACCCCAGATGTGCAAACACATCCTTTTCAGTAGGCGTGGACAGGACAATCCCAGATCCGGTTTTGAGGCCCTCTGGTCCTCGCACTACACCACTGCAGAGGGCGTGCTCTGACAGGCTCATGCCTTTAGTCCTGGCCAGGGCTCGCATGGAGCGGTTGAAGTGGGCTGAGCCTGTGAAATACAACAAAGCACAGGCAAACTCTCTGTAGGGGACCACAATGATGTCAAGGCGTCTGTGGTGCCTGTCTGGGCCTGGCAAACGGCAGACTCCGAGGTACTTCTGCTGGATGCCATTGTCTTCCTGTTTCACCAAGTCATCCGTGAGAAAGCCTGAGCGGAAAGCACAATATGTGAGACAAATACTGTCATATTATTGGAAAAAATCGAGAAGTAAATTGACACCAAGAGCTACCTTCTTACTTATATCTGTCTCAGGTCTTGCCTGAGGACTCAGATCAGTGTCCAAGAAAGAAAGAGAAAAGCTTTTCCCAGTATAGCAGCAATTACAGGTCTACAGTAGTCAGCTTTAGAAAAAAGGGCCAAGATCAACTCAAGCTAACAAAACTAGGCCTCTTCTGTATTCCTACTTATGTTTCTTTAAATAGTTCTCAAGGTGGATACATTCAGGAATATGATTCTGAACACCCACCCCCACCACAGAACCAGCTGATATTCTCATACCACTTTTATGAAGAACGTTGAGCAGTTTGCTGAATACTCCTTGGTGGGAGTGTCCATCAGGATGAGTCACCAGTACATCCACATCTCCACAAGTAGATTTTCCACGCCGGAAAGAGCCACATGCTATACACACTAGTTCAGATATAATAGACTGAGCTGCTTTTCTAACCTTAAAGAGACAGATCAGAGAAATTAACTGCTCTCAAATACCACTTACTGAAATACCAACAATTCTCAACTTATAAAGGAGAGTATTTGAAGCTCAGAGTTGAAATGAGGGGCCCTTAGTGCTTTCTGGGCTTGATTGTTTTCTTGCAGATGTTTCATTTCCTGAACTAGGTAAAATCATCAGTGCTAGTGATGCTAGCTAGCATCACATGCTATCACTAGAAAACAACCAAGCTCAGAAACCACCAAGGATCCCTCAGTCCTCAACTTACAACCACAATTGAGACCAAAGCTTCACTAAGGGAAATAAAGGAGTCACTGACAATTTTATGAATTTTTTGCTGCAGTCATTAAGCAGGTCACATGGTTGTTAAAGGAATCTGGATTCTCCCAATGACTTTGCTTGTTGGAAACTACCTGGGAAAGTCACAAATTGTGATCATGTGACCCCAGGATACATTAACCATTGTAAATACATGCCAGTTGCCAAGTGCCGAAATTTTAATCACACAACCGTGGGGACATGTGATGATAAGTGCAAGGACCAGTAATAAGTCACTTTTTTTAGCACCCTCATAACTTCAAACAGTTGTTAAAGAAATGGTTGTAAGTCAAGGAATACCTGTAATTCAATTGCCTAGCATCTCATTTGCTTGCGATGCATAAGAAATAAAACAAACTGAAAAGTAAGTCTAACCATAATCCAAATATTTTCTAATGAACATTAAAGTAACATCATGGAAATAAAGGGAAATTCCATTAGATTTATTCTGTTTCTCTTAGAATACAGGGAGAGGTAAAGAGTATAGACAGGGCACTGGAGCCCTGCCTCTTAATCATGGAAAATTCTACAGGGGCTCATTCATTCATTATAAATTTTCTATGTGCACAAAATTCAGAAATGACATATAAGTTATGGAATAACAAAACATATACATCTATTACAAAATGTTGCTGTTCTTTAGGTAAACTCACGACAGTCCTTCCATTCCTTAAGAGTTATGCTATATAACTGGGAAAATAAAATTCTATGAAATGCCTATGATGCAAATGAGAATAAAGTTGGAATGGAGGTAGGCATTTTTAAAAGTTATTCTTTGATAGAAGAGCTAGTATGCAAGACATACAGAGAAGGCTCCACACTGAAAAGGATTCAATTTGGCCTTGCCTGAGATGGGCTGATTCTCCTGCTATAGGTCTGCATCTCTTACTTCGATATCATGTATGGGACCTTAATCACAAGAAACTGACTGTTCTTTCAGAACTGCAGTTAAATATCAAGAAGTGGAACTACCAGTCCAATAAGTGTATGCCCAGTGATAAGTTCCCTGTCAGCCACTTTCCTTCACTGTCTTTATTAAAGCATCATTTGAAGGTAATTTCGGTATGCAGGATTATCAGTATTATGATGCCAATCATCCATTTTACCAAACAAAGACATAGCTACGGGTTCAGAACATTGGGAGTGTGTGTGTGGGGGGGGGGGAAATCAGTTTAGAGGATGAGTGCCCCTTGTCAGTCTCTGGGATCATCCTTCATTAGTGAGGAATAAACCCATTAACCTTTGCCCTGCAACATTTGGAATCACCTTCATGGCTTTTCTAATGCAGATCTGCCCCCTCTGCATCCCCAATTAAGTTTTCTTGAAAGCAGCAAACCCCATACTGCACCTTGGATCTTCGACAGACAGCAGCTAATCCCCTCTTTCTCTTGTCTCTTCCCTGAGGTAGGCAAGAGAAGGGTAATCCCATCAATCCACAATAGGCCCATTCCCAAGGGCGGAGGCTCCCCAAAGAACTTTAATCCTATGTAAGGGGTGATGCCCTACCTGGCAACTATGCATTCTTTAGGGGCAGGCACTGTGACTGAGTGACAGCGTCATGCTGCCCAGTGCTGCCATGGCAATTCCACTGTACAAGAGGAACAATGAAAAGGGTTTTTATGTGGCTTAGATCTCTGAATTTAAAGAGCTGCATTAATATATAAACCTGAGGTGTGGTCCAGCCCAAACATATAAAGACAAGGGGGAAAGCATTGGGACTAGAAGAGTGCAAAGCACTGTTTCCTTGCCAAGAGAGCAAAGAGAGAAAGTCACGGATGTTTTTGTCATCATCCTACCACTTACCTGAGAATTATTTAGAGAAGGATTGGCATAACATATTGGGAATCTATTAAAGACTTCCTAAGTGGAAAAATTAAAGCAGAAATGATGTTGGTAAACTAAATTGATTTTAGGCCAGGTACAAAGATTTGCAGAGCATAGAAATAAAAATATATTAACACGGATGGAGGTTTTAATTTTTTACTTAGTCAGTTGTAAGGAACTCCAACTTTCTAAAAAGGAAATCTTCAATTTCTGCAGTAAATGTGCCTAAAAAGGGAAATTGATTTCTGATAGACAGAAGTATGGATGTGATTAGAGCCATGTTTCTTTGCTTTTGTGCAAATATGAAGAGAGAGAGAGAGAGAGAGAGAGAGAGAGAGAGAGAGAGAGAGAGAGAGAGAGAGAGCGCATGGCTTCAAATAAGACGTTTCATTAAGAGTCATGGCTTGGGTGGCTGGTATATAAAAGGAAGTTAAGTTAAGCCAGTCTTCCTCAGCTTGTGCTATTTGAAAGTAGAAAAAAAATGTGCTCTCCAGTTGTGAAAGAACATGAGGTCATAAAGACTTAGGTGGTGCTTTTTTCTATGACAGTCACATTAAATAAGACAAGAGTGAGAAATCAACTCCAAAGGAAGGCTAAAACTACTTTTACTGAGATTAGCTATAATAACTGAGCCTTGAAAGTCTGGGTTGTACATCCTCCCCCTTTGTACACTCCTATGAATCAATGAGGTGCCTGCCTGAGTCACTTCCAAATGTTATCTTACTTTGGATTTAAAAAAAAAAATCACTCCATTTTGCCTTGGTAACAGTTCCTGATATTTTCATCAAAGTCATCTGCCTTATTATCTACACTCTAATAAAGAAGTGTCCATTTTGATAAGCTGCTCTAAGGCAGGTATACTTGGGGTGGCACCTTGCCTCTTTGCAGGGCAAGGTGACTCCCATTTTAGCATCTGAAATAGTAAACTAAAGAGGGGAATGCCCCAAAAATATCTACGCGAAAGATGGGTGGGATCAACATAGAAAATATGTTAGTGTTTAAGTAAATGGTACCTCTAATATGGTATTCTTTTGGAAAATATTTTGGGGGGGGGTTTATTTGGCAAGCTGCCAAATGGAAAAAAAAATATGAGTCATCAACAAAACCAAGACCAAATAGCCTTATGATTAAAATCTGGTGAAAAATAGCATATGATTTTCTGTCAACATCTTGCTATAGTTTAAACAAGGTACCCACAGTCTGTTCAATTTCAGCAGCTTCCTGCCTTGGCATGCGCTCCAAGAAGTCCTCATAATACTTAAGGCCGATAGCTTGCTGGCTGGTGAGAGAGGCCCTAGTGCGGATGTCATGCAGAGTGCGAAAACCCTGGGTAGAACACATAACAGAAATATAGGAATTTTGTTTTCAGTAATCCTTAATAGGTGATATCATAGAAACTAGAACTGATGTGGTGTAATTGGAATGACAACACACAATGTGCTGTTTGCGATATTTCCTAATTTCCCCCTGCAGATCACATACAATGCTGAGAAGGTATCATATTTTTTTCATGAACCGAAACTCAAAATGTGTGAGCATTCATTTACACGGACACACACACACACACCACACACACACACACACACACACACCACACACACACACACACCACACACACACACACACACATACAAAGGTCATGGTGTTGCTACTGGAAAACACCATAGTGATTTCGAATGAATCTGATGCTTTTGCATAAACTGTTGCAACTGGTAATAAAGGAAAAAGATTGATACAAATAAAGTTAACGTATCTTTATATACACTATAAAGTAGGAAGAGAGGACACTAGCATTATGTGTCCAATATAGATAATATAAAATCTCCAGAGGAAGTCCCCTGAATAAATCATAACTAAAAAGTAGCAATACAAATATAAACTCATATGCCTTGCAGCAAAGATTAAACATGAACAAATAGAAGGCAATGACCACAGAATAATTGCTACATAGAGGATAGAGAATTACCTGCTGGTACCACATCTGGCTAGTCTTTACTCCTGCTCCCCATATATTGGAAAATAATTCTAGCACGGAGACACTGTCACTGATGTGGTCAAGTTTTCGAAGGTGCCCACTCTCCAGGATTTCTACAATCTTTTCTGCCATCTGTTTTCCAATTCCAGGAATCTTACAGGCTTCCTGAAAGAACAATGAAACTAGTTCAAAGCAAAGCTCAAACATTGATTTACTCTGAGTATTTTAGGTATGCTGTGTTTCATTATCCCTAGTGCATACCTAACTTGCTAATATGGACCCCATCCTAAAAAACTATGATTAGTATTTAGAAAACTATGCAAGCTTTATAAACACACCCTTGTATCTTTTACTTTTGGCCTACCGATCTGCAGCATAATCATGTTAAAAGTTTACATTGTAGAATTAGTAAAATACTTTCCAAAAAGCAGGATGGAATAATAGAGATATGTAAGTAGGATGCAGGCCTCAGCTGTTTGAAATTACTCGTCTATATAGCATTAAAGAGAACACAAATTGGAACTTTTCCTGCAAAAAACAAACAAATAAACAAAAATACTAAGGCAGAAAGGTACAGATACCTTGGAGAAAGTAGGTATGTGACAGAAAAACAGGCATGCTTAGTAAGCTTTGTCTTATTTACCTGAAATGATGTAACAGGTTTATGATAACTCTTGAGCGCATTAATAGCTTTCGAGTAGCTTAGACCCCTCCACTTGTCTCCTTGGACAGAGTAGGCTTTAGCCAGCACTTCCAGCTTCTCTGTAATGTACTGATTATGATTAGTTTTCTTGCTTTCAGAAGACTGAGCGCAAACCCACTTGCCAGGGAAAATGCCCGCTGATGAGCCTTCTGACGAAGTGTTCAGGTCCTGACCTGACCTCAGTGCCTTCAGTTCTTGCAGAGTGACAACAGCTTTGTCCTCTTCAATTTCTTCATCACCTAACATGCTCTTTGAGATACACAGAACAAGCAGAAGAGGGAGCAATGAAATTGAGTGATCATTTATCCAATCACAGAATATGAGCTCATTCTGCCACAATATATAGACATTGTAAAGTATGGGACACAATTCTTCATTTTCTTTGTTTCTTTTGTAATATTTGTATTGCTTTTATCTTGTTAAAATTTCTTCAATAAAAATTATATTAAAGAAATAAAAATAAAATACAGAGCAGAATTAAGGCCCATGAGAAATAATCACAGAAACCCAGAGTCAAAGCAAATATCAATTGAACTAACAGTTTCATATCTACAATTTATGTTCCTAGTAATGGTGATCAAGAACTAGGAAGTACAGATGGCAAAATATCTGGGATGACCAAAATACAATTGATTGTCACGGTAAATGTGTTCTATATTTAAAGCATGGTAAAAAGTAATAATGAATATTTTGTTCCACGTTTTACAGTTAGTAGGTATTTGCCACCTCCACATTCTATAGCCGTAAGAAGGAACCAAAGTTCCATATACGATACCTAGGAAGCTCAGAACAGAAAAATATTGAACAGTTTTTACTTTTTATTCAGTGAAGTTCAGATACCGTATCAAAGTCTTTAGGAAATTTACAAAATGCAACCAGAATATTCTGAAATTATGTTGTAAGCCACCCAGAGTCATTGGATATGAGATAGGTGACAAATAAATTTCATTCATAAATAAATAAGGCAAAAAAAGGCAAAATGTAAACCAATATACTTTGAATGGAGAACTGCATGATAACAGAATTTACTACATATTATTTTTTCTATTTTCTTATAATTCTCTGAAAAACAAACATAAATAAAAGACACATGCTTTATAAGCCTAGGTTTACTAAGGATGCTTTGATTTTTATTCAGTTTGTTTATTTAAATATTTAAATTTTAAAATGTATAAATAAAAAAAAACACCTTTGGATTTTTTTTTTTAAAGTATAAACTGGGCAATTTGTTTTCACAATTTCAAACAGTAAGGTGTTTCCAAATCTTAGATAAGAGTTTGGCATTGGCTAACTTTAACAGAAAATCTCTGACTTAGCCTAAAAATGTGTAATTAGGCTCACCTGTGTAGCTTCCTGTTGATCCTAGAAATTTACAAGTAGCCCTCATTTAATGACCAAAATTGGGACCAGAATCTCAGCCACTAAGTAAAGTGGTTGTTACGTGAGATGCCTACACAACCACTTCACTCAGTGACCACAATCCTGGCACTCGCAGTGCAATCATTAAGCAATTGCATAGTAGTTACACAAAGGGATTCCCAGGAAACAAGAGGCAGGAAGAGAAGGATTTTAGCACAGAGGAGCTCTTCAGGCACAGAGAGCCCCATGCCTGTGGAGCTCATAGATTGCAAATGGTAATCACAAAATTGCACTGCACTTGATTACTGATCGTAAGTGTAAATAGGTTGCCCAGCACCCAGTTTAGGAGGCACATAACGTTTTATAAGGGCCAGAAGTGCCCTTCTAAAATATTTAAAGCACCCTTTCCAAAACTGTCATAACTTCAAACAATTATTACGCAACTGTTCATAAGTCAAAGACTACCTGTACAGTATCACAGAAAGAGCTGATCTCGGTGTTTGATTCTTCTTTTAGTTCCATAACTGTGTTCTCTGCTTTGGGGTGAACCTTATCCTCATCTTGTAATGGTGACTGTTCCATTGAAAAGCCTGTCTCATCCAGATATCTGCCAAGAATTAACAAACAACAAATAATTGGATTTGGGGCATTTCTCTTATCAGCTAAAGGCAGATGAAGAATAATATAAAACAGGGCTAGGAAATTCATTTGATATATACTCTTCTGAAAGATGTGGGGGGGGGTCAGAGTTTGCTTTAGTGAAGAGTCTATTCTGGTTTCCAAATGTTTGCTGTTTATATTAAACAGGCACATACTGGAACAAAAAGATTATCACATGTACTTACATTCTATTAGTCACACACTGGTTTTACAGAACCAATTCTAAGATTTCTGCTGTATTTTTTGGTCTCCTAAACATACCATTGGCTTCTCTTGCAATGCCACACTGTGTTCATCACTGCAGTCATATATTAGTATGATTCAGTGAAAAGGTTTAGGCATTCTTGTCAAATTATAAAATTCCAATGAATTCAGAAAGTAACAGAAGTGAAACATATTTTCTGAAAATGTGAATATTTACTTATTATTTATGTGCAGTTATTTATAGATTCAAAATAAGAAAACAGTGAATTTGGCCAAAGAAAAAAATAGGTGTCCTTTCTTTTAATATTTTATATCATATCCTTTGGCTAGAATTATAGCTTACAAATATTTTCCTGTAGCTAAGCTGTTTTATTCTCGTTTGGGAATTTTCTTCCCATTCTTTCCTGTAGTTCTAGTTTCTTCTAGTTCAGAAATATTCTTAATCTCTTGCACATGGTGTACATTTGAGATTTCTCACACATATTCAATAATATTCACCTTCGTGGAATATGGAGCCCATTTCCAACAAATCAATAGAGAAATCAAATATGTACTTAATAAGAAAGACATATTTGATTCAGAGCATGTTTTGGACTGCTGTTTTGTTAAAATATCAAATTACACTTCAGCTTAATTTTTTTTTTAAACTCCTGACTGCTTTCAGGTAGATGTTAAACAGCAGAGGAGAAGACAGAATCCCATGGAACACCGCATGTGAATGATCTACATTTGAGCAGCAATGTCCCCACATCATCGTCTGGGTCATTCTAAGAGGAAGAATTGGAATCACTGCAAAACAGTGCTCCCAAGGCTCAGCCTTGCCATATAACCCATTGATATGAAGGATACTATGATCAATGCTATAGAAGCTACTGAGAGGTCCAAGAGAAATAGCAGTTACATTCCATTCCATATGGAGGTAGTTCTCGACTTATGACCACAACTGAGCCCAAAATTTCTGTTGCTGAGCAAGACCTTTGTTAAGTGAGTTTTTCCCCATTTTACAAACTTTCTTGCCAGAGTTATTAAATGAACCACTGCAGTTGTTAAGTTGCTAAGTGAATCTGGCTTCCCCATTGACTTTGCTTCTCCTGGAATACTACAACCATCATAAATATGAGACAGTTGCCAGGTGTCAGAATTTTGATCCTCATGACCATGGGGATGCTACAACGGTTATAAGTGTGAAAAATGGTCATAACTTATTTTTTCAATGCCATTATAACTTCTAATGGTCACTAAACGAACTGTTGTAAGTCGAGAGCTACCTATAGTTTCTTCTTAGCTCATCTACTACAGTAACCAAAATAGGTCCAGTGTTATTTCCCGGATGAAATATCCAGTAAAGTCAGCATCCAAATCATCAAGGCCACCACTTTCACAGACGGTTTATCAAGAAATAGGATATTTGAGACTGTCTGATGGTTTTATTAAAAATATTGAATAAAGTTCTTTTTTCTATTGCATTTTGAAGATGAATTATCAGTTTTGCATAAACCTTCCTCATTCAAATTGGATAAAGAATTTAAAAGAGAGACCTACTTCTCTGGGATGATGAGTCTATAGTCAGTAGTGTTCAAGATCTTCTGTACTGTAATACAAGAACTCAGCCATGATGCCTTAACCAGTTGCAAATCCTGAGGTAACTTTTTGAGTTTAAGGAGCCGAAAAGCCCTATCAAAATCCATGTCTTCATCCACTATTACATGTGTCACATCTGAGGAAAGCTGGCTGCAGATATGTCCTCCGTTGTGAATAATCTGCTTACAGAAGATCTCAGCTCTGGCCTGGCCAATTCCTGCTTGCAACACATAAGCTGTGATTGGCTCCAACCACCCTGGTAAAAATACCATAGAGAAAGATGACCAGCAAAATAAGGTTAGGTAACAAATCTTTTCAGAATGAAGAAAATCTGATCGTTTGGTGAAATATAATGAAAGTTAGTGTTTTATAACATATAGTCATGTTATTATATTACTGCATTGTAGAGACTGAACTTTTTAAGGATTAAGTCATTTCTCTGAAAGGAACCATAAAATTAAACCACAGAAATTAATAGCAGTAAAAGCCACACCATGAGAACTTCACATGACTAAAGTCAGAAAGAAAGAAAAAAAATCACCTTGCTGATTCTTGGTTTCTTCTTTCCAAATCTTTAAAGGCACAGTGTGTACATTTTCTCTCAACTTCTTTCGTTTGCGGAAAGCTTTGACAATTCCTTGAGGCTCCATGGGCCATAGATGTCTCCTTCTCTAACAGGAGGATGCAGATTTGCTGAAGATGTAGGAAGGAAAAGTAAAAATAATACATTCTAATGATAGGTAACTCATAGATATCCTTTTGTCAATGTTCCATCATTCTAGAACAGATTAATAGTTCTAATACATATCCCATTCAGTCACTCACATAAATGACCCTCTTCATCATGCTTAATCTACTACATTTGAAGATTGGTAATATTAGTGTTTCATAATTTATTTATGGTAACTATATATAACTATTTCCTTATATCTCTTTGGCACTGTCCACTTATATTTTTTAGCACTACTGGGAATGTTATTTTGCTGAGGTTTAGAGAAGATAAGGAGATACATTTGGGGAGACAATTGGAAACACAGAGGGAATAGGTCTGGGATGGAAAATTAGAGTTGAATGTCATCTGCATAAGGGTGTACAGAAAATCATGGGATTTTACAAGATCTCCTTAGGATAGCATGTATACTTTTTTTTACTTGAGAGCAAAACTTTAATACATTTAAATATATTATAATATATATTGTAATGTATATCATATACACATTACAAGTAGTAAACTGTATATTGTTTTCCTGTTTAGGAACAGTATCATATATGAAACAGTTCTTATTGTAACTTTCCCTGAAATGTCTAGCTGGCCTTACTTTAGAACAGTGGTTCTCAACCTTCCTAATGCCGCGACCCTTTAATACAGTTCCTCATGTTGTGGTGACCCCCAATCATAAAATTATTTTTGTTGCTACTTCATAACTGTAATTTTGCTACTGTTATGAATCGTAATGTAAACATCTGATATGCAGGATGTATTTTCATTGTTACAAATTAAACATAATTCTATTCTATTCTATTCTATTCTATTCTATTCTTCTATTCTATTCTATTCTATTCTATTCTATTCTATTCTATTCTATTCTATTCTATTCTACTCTACTCTACTCTACTCTACTCTACCCTACCCTACCCTACCCTACCCTACCCTACTCTACTCTATATTCTATTCTATTCTACTCTACTCTATTCTGGTCTATGTTCTGTTCTATTCTATTCTATTCTATTCTACTCTACTCTACTCTACTCTACTCTACTCTACTCCATATTGTCTATTCTATTCTCTCTTCCATATTGTCTACTCTACTCTACTCTACTCTGGTCTATATTCTATTCTATTCTATTCTATTCTATTCTATTCTATTCTATTCTATTCTATTCTATTCATGATTAGACAATTTAGGATCGTCTTCTTCCTGGTTATTCGAAAAAGATTCAGTTATAGAAATGACAACCTTCTGATCATTCTCTACATCTCCCAGAGATTTGGAGTGAAATGAATCCCAAATTGCCCTTAGTACATTTTATTATTTTATTTCAAAACGGTCAGAGAGGAGGGTAATTTCCCTAAGAAGTGCCTGTCGTGGCGCTCGAGGAGCTCCTGTCTCTTAGCCCTGCCCCTTTCGAGGAGGAGAGTTCAGGTGGGGGGGAGCAGAGGGAAAGCGTTCTTTTCTCACAGAGGAAATTGGCCTCGGTGGCTCGCCGTATGCGAAGCCTTAAGCAACGTGAGAGTTGGAAGAGCGCGGGGTACCCCTTTCCATCCCTGCTGCGGCGCTTGCAGCTTTGTGGGTTGGAACTTTCACACTCGCGGGATTCGAAATGTCACAATGGCTCAGAACATTCAGAGTGTTACATTGTCTCTCATGCTGCCCATCACTTGCCACATTTGCCTGGGGGATCGCGCGGAGTGGAACGTGTCCAGCACCGACGCCCCACTCCCTTGCAAAATGTGCATGGGATGCAGGAAAAAGCCCCCTCAGTGGCGGAGAGGAGAAGCGCTTTTCATTCCACGCGTTCTTTCTTCTTTTTCTCTCCCCCCCCTCCACCTATTTCTTGCGCGGCTTTGAATGAACGATTATTTCTGAATTCTAGCTTTGTCCCTAGCTTTGGAAACAGCTCGCTGAAAACTTTCTAAGTGGTGTGTCAAGCCCCTGGGCTTGACATGAACCAGTGGGGGACAGGGAAGGAGCAGCCAGCGGGCAGCCGACGTCCGTATGCCGCCCCGGGGTGCCACCTGACTTCTGAGGACCAGCTGGGAATCGGGGAGGCCACCATGCACCACGGCCGCTTCCCTCCATTGACACGGACGCCAGGGAAGTCCCTACAGCCAGCTGGGCCTCAGAGGCATGCCAGCCGGACACCGGAGGGACTGTCTTTTGCTTCAGCCACTCCTCGCTCTCACTGGATGCAGGGGGAGTCCCGAAAATCAGCTGGGCATTGGCGGCAAGACAGCCAGATGCCGGAGGAACTGCCTCCTGCCGCGGCCGCCTCTCCCTCTTGGGAGAATCCCCAGAAGCCAGCTGGGTGGCAGAGAAGACTGGTTGGATATCGGAGGGTCGTCTCTTGTCACCGCCGCCCCTCCTTTGTTGCCGGTCAGGGGAGGCTGCCGGTTTCCGGGGGGGGGAGCTATGGCCTCGTAGAAGAGCGTGGAGTCTCAGTTCCTAAGACCATCAGAAATAGGTGTTTTCCAATGGTCTTAGGCGACCCCTATGAAAAGGTCATTCGACCCCCAAAGGGGTTGCGACCCACAGGTTGAGAACCACTGCTTTAGAAGAACAGAGTCCTAAAATTAGGAGGAGCAAGGACACTATGATACTTATGATCTATAAATATGGGAATTAAGCTGGGAAGTATTTTATGAATTCAGAACCCACATGAATCAGATCACTAGTCCAGTAATGTCAATACTGTTGGGTTAAAGTTTCCTAGTAAAAGTAAAGGCCACAGAGCCTGAACCAAAGATTTTCTGAACATAAAACATGTGCTCAAACACTATAAGCTATGGTTCTTCTATCCCAGATTCAATGTTCAACCTCTTTCGTTAAAAGAATAATAATGCTATTAGAGACCAGTGTTAAGAGTTGGAATCTGAATTTGTAGGACTTTTGCCCTCTGCAATCTCTATCCTGGAAACTGTGATCAAAGTCTCTGACAAAACCACCAATGAAAAATATAGCAACTAAAAATAATAATAACGTGAATATTGTTACTTTTAAGTATCATGCTATTGTTACATTTTAAATCAAATGGCGTAGTTTTTTATTAAAATTAATGGACAATTTGATCAGGAGCTGAAGCAAAAGGTATCAGCACTACATTAATTTGATTTAAAATAAAAGTGCCTACAAGTAATCTTTCATGGGTTTTTCCCAGGAGCGCCTTCCCCAATTCAGCGTTACTCAGATGCACTTCCCACAAACTCCGGTTTACACGACATGCCAGCCAAAGATTATAGCATTGACTCCGCTCTAGAAGGAGTGGGGAAAAACCAACAGAGTAAAGCCCGAACTGGTTTGCATCTCTTCGGAGCCTGCGCTAATCCGGCTCATCGCGGTCCAGAGACTGCCCATTTAAGAGCGTCTGAATTGGGAGGCGGGATGAGAGCCAGTCGAAGGTTCCTGACAGCCAGGGCCAAATCGCCGCGGCGCTCCTCTAACCCTCAGCTTTCCTGGCTGAGGTATTCTGGGAGTTGAAGTCCACAAGACTTAAAGTTGCCAAGATTGAGGACCCCTGTTCTAGCCAATTGCCACCCGCTGCTGCTTTTCCAGTGACGATTGAGGGGCGCCGCGCCGTTCTGCGACGCTGCCTGAACCCACCTATCCACCTACGTTGCCCCTCTGGCTGGAGTGGGGGGGGGGTTGCTCCAGAGAAAGGCCGAGAAGAACGATATCGATGGTAACGTTCACTTACCGACGGTATTGCTGTGACGCCAGAACGACCTGCGCGCGGCGTCTTCTTCCGTGTCAAGGGACGAAGAGCCGGAAGACCAGGAGGGTTGCCTTGGTAACGTGCCTAGCCGAGCCGCAACATGGCTGGGACCAGCTGGCTGGAGCAGTTGCGGGCGGCTCGCAAGACCGCCCTGCTCGCGGATGGTAACCGGGTGGCGGGAACTGGGATTGTGGTGATTTGGGGAAATGACCCGCCGGTCACGGGCAAGTGGGCAGCGGCTGAAGTTGGGGAGCTTTCTAAGGTGGGAGAATCCAGGCAGTTCCAGTCTCCAGGTGGCGAGGAGGCTGAAGCCTCGTGTTGCCTTCGCTTTTGGGTGCGGCGACCTAGTCGGAATAGACTGAAAATCAAATGTTAAAATCTCCTCTAAGTTGTTTTTTTTTAAAGGAGTAATGGAAAACATTCCCGAGTCTGTTTGTTTCTAATTGAATTGTATTCACCACTGTGGGGAGCATGAGGAAATCAACCCGTTAACATTGGTTCTTACTTCCACCAAAACTTGTCTTTAGAAGAGGAGTAATTTGAATGGAGGGCTGTGAGGCATTTGGAGTCTGTAAACGTCACTCTGGCCAAGTGGGGGAAAGTATGTTGAGTCTGTGGGATGGGATTTCCTCCTATTTCTTCCTTTTAGGTCCACCCATCCTGTGCTCTCTTTAGGTAAACGAAAAATCCACTACTTGTTTGAGGATGGGAAGGAGTTGGCAGAAGAATATGACCTGAAAACACACCAGCTACTCTGTAAGCCAGCCAACTTTTCTTACTTATAGTTAAACATTGGAAATGTGAATGGTATAGGTAGATTTGAAAGACAGGTTTTGCCTTTAATAATCTTGCATATTCTGCAAGTCAGTAAAGCAAATTTTGCAATGAAAGATCCATATTAGGAAAGGGAAGTGAAATCAGTGTTGGCTTGCCACTGAGATTACAGAGCTAAGCTACATGTCTTTATCTGTTTCCTTATCCACAGCATTAACCTTAAGCATTGATGTCTCAGTTATATTACAGTATCTGATGAAACTAAAAATTAATCCACTCATTGTATTGGTATTGCTCCTGAGATTGCATGGCTTTATCATGCTTCTCTTGAGATGCAAGCAGGGATTCAAGGGCACAATGCTGTGATAGGTTTTTTTGTTGTGTGTGTGTGTGTGTTTTTAGAGAATTTGACCACCTACTATCGATCAAATGCAGGCTTTATTTTTAGTGAAATCAGACTTTATATTCTTGCACTTTAAATGAGTGATCATAACCCAGGAACCCACATGTATTCTGTTTCTGCAAAAGGAAAGAGGCATAATTAAAAATAATTTGAAATCAAAAATTGACTTTATTTGCTGTAGTTTCTTAATATCTCACTTGGGAATATTTTCCTGAAAAAATATATCGATTTCTTCTATATCCTTGTCCTTTCTGTGCAGTAAGAAAATGGAGAGAGAAGAATGCTCTGGGCGCATATGGCAATTGGGAGGTTGAAGTGGGAGAACCCACATTGCTTGCAGCAGGAACACTGGACCGTGAGTTCATAAAGGAGAGCAATACCAATGTAAATACAATATTTGTAACTCAGCATTTGATATTAGGGGAAAATATACTTTACCCAATTTCTCTATCTTGATTTTTATTCATTTAGGAAATACAGTAGTATGTAAGGCTTTCTTTGTTTACTAAGCTGCATGAATAATCCAGAAAGTTAGAAACGTCCATTATGCTCTTCATTTCTACTTTGTCTTTTTCCTATATATAACGGTTTATGTGTTAAATGTGTTGTTATGCTGTTCCTCTAGGAGTTCAATACAACTTAGGAAGCATTTGTTTCTTCCAATTTTCCTCACAACATGATAAAAGTTGAACTAAGAGATAGCAACCATCCTTTAAATTTCAATGTAATTTAAACAGAGAAATTACAATTGAAAGCTCACTATGGTCAAAAATAACTGAATTAATGTTGGGTGGAGACATTTTTGTAAATATGAAAAGTTTAATATGGCTCTTATATGAGAGACTCATATTCAAGTCCATTCTTAGCCATAGATGTGACTTAGTCATTAGGTGTCTTTGAGCCAGTCACTTTCTTTCAATCCAAACTCCCCACAAACTTTTGTTTGGGTACAAATGGGATGAAGGAGTGCCAAGTAAACCACTGTCAGCTCCTCAACAAAAGGCAGCATATATTTCTAACAAATAAATGTTTTGAATTTTGTTTATTATACATAGCAGCATGCAATTGTTAAGTTTAACACGGTAGTGATATGTCATTATATGATATTTTATAAATGTTTTTTTTAAAAAAGTAGATGTTAATAAAACCAGCCTTACTTTAAAAACTGGATGAATCTGTACTATACTAATTTGTGCATCTGTTTAAATGTTATGAGGTGAAGGGGTGCACACAACTGAATGTGGCTCAGAGTCTAAATTCCCTACATGTATCATGATGAGGTTGACATTAGGAGAAAGAGGTTTTGGGAGGAGAAGCCTATCTTTTGGAGTATTATCTTCTCTGAGAGTGCTTTTCTGGACAGAAGAAATCCTAGTACAATCCTACTACATAGTGAAAGGAAAGGAACCATCCATTCCTTCCAACCTTTTGCATAGCTTGGAAGGGACTGTCTTTCTCCAGATGAAGACAGTGGGCAGCACAACTTTCAATAAAATACATACAGGGATACAGTAGATAAAATAATCTTGGTACACGAAATACTTAGCAAGCTGAACATTGCAAGAGTGAAAATGTTTTCACTACAAGTAATAGATGTTATCTTCAAAAAGGAACGCCCACGTTTGATCACACAAGTTCTTTAGAACAAGGGTCCCCAATCTCTGGGCTGCAACAATACCGGGCCTTGAGTCGTTCAGAACTGGACCGTGGAAGTGGCAACAAGCACATGTGTACAGGTGCACATCCCCATTTGCCTGAGCGGCGGATGTGCATGCCTGCCACTCGCACAAATGGAGCTGTGCACTTGCCCGCTGCTCACACCGAACCATCCCCTCTCCCCCCCCACCAGGCCGCAAAGCTGGAAAAGTTGAGTAACTCTGCTTTAGAACTAGATTGGCAGCCATTCACTAAACCTTGGGTGCTTCCAGATATAGTGTTGTGTCATGTCATGTAATGTTTCTCAACCTCAGCAGCTTAAAAATGTGTGGCTGGGGAATTCTGGGAGTTGAAGTCCACACATTTTAAAGTTGCTTAAGTTAAGAAACACTGGTGTGGTATATTGATCACTTTAGGGAATGTAAATGCTCTCCCAATCTTTTTATGGCTCTGGGCAATTTGGGTGGCTTCCAAAATACAACAAAGTACCTATAAAAACATTTATAAAGCATAACATATATAAAACACATCAGCTAAAATAGTTACACTATAAGCCCTTGGAAAGTAAATATGTTTCCAGCTCTTTCCTGAATTATAATGAGGAGGCTTGCTTTAATTCCACTGACAATTTAGTCCATGACACAGGCTATAATTTAGTCAAAAATGCCAAAAGCTAAATGATTTTTTTAATAAAAGGTTTATGCTCTGCATTGTGGTTCTGCCTTAAAGTTAGGATCTCTTTCAAATGTTCTTCCTGCATAAACTCAGAAAGTTCAGATTGCCCAGGAGCTGCTGATGCAGTTTTACAGAGGAATTACTGAGTCTGTCATTTGCATTTTTATAACTGTCTGGTTTGGTACAGCAACCAAACAGAACAGGTACAGAGTCCAACAGATAGTCAAGACTGCAGAAAGAATAATTGCAACCAGTCTGCCTTCCATAGATGACCTCTATATTGCGCGGGTCAGAAGGAGGGCTGAGAAAATATTTGCAGACCCTTACATCCTGGACACAAACTGTTTTAACTCCTTCCCTCAGGACGGTGCTATACGGTATTGCATGCCAAGTCATCTAAATATAGGGGCAGTTTTTCCCCTTATGCCATCACTCTGCTGAACACCTAATTCTCGTAGTTTTGTCAAATGTGTATGTGTATCAACTCATAGAGTGTGGCTGTAATATTATTTATTCCTTTTTGATTACCTTCTTTACTTTCTTTTATTGGTATGGTTCACTGCACAGTCAGCCAGATGTTCAGTCTGGATTTAGCCTTTTTGTTCTCCTGTCAGGTCCTTCCCAAGGACCTGGGATAGGCAGATGTGGATGTTTTATGGTTTAGAGGTATCATCGCAGGATTTCTCTGTTGCCTTGTCAAGTACACTGAGTGCTTCTGTACCAGAGACAAATCCCTGGTGTCTAACCACGCTTGGCCAAATAAAGTATTCAATTCAAATTAGAAGACTTAGGGAAATTGTGGATATTCTTTATTGTGTTATTTTTGCTTGACCAGCAGCACGTAATGTCCTAGGAATCCACATGAAGCAGAAAATATGTCTTATTTTGAATTTCCTTCAGCAGCTTCCATTATAACTTATCTGAACTAGTCACCTCTGCCCCTGAGGGAGAAATGGACAGCCACTCTGGAATCAGTTGATCTGACGAAGAATAGTCAGAAGGGTTGGAGACTTTTAAAACATCTGAATAATGATCCAACAAATCTGTGTCAATATAAGAACATTATGGCAAGCCAAATCACTTATCAGCTGTTAAAAAGCAGAGTTAAGGGGAGGGACTTGAGAAATGCAGGCTCCCAAGGACAAGGGAAAGGGAGGCCAGTGTATTGACCTCATCCTTTGATAGAGAAGAAGTGGAAACAGCAATTCAAGATATGAAGAATGGTAAACCAGTGGGATTGGATGATAATCGTGTTGAACAAATAATTTTTGGGGGAGATTTTAGAAGCAATGGTTGTTATCCCTTTTTAATGCTTATGTGGCCCCAAAGTGTATTCTGAAGATCTGGAGGAAAGGTGGGTTATCATACTTTTGAAACCCAGGAAATTACCAAATGATCCAAAGAATTTTCATCCAAGTTCCCTCCTCTGCCATCCCTTTAAATTCTGTGAGAGAGTTCTGTTAAACAAAATGTTTCCTATGATCAGCCAACTCTTATTTCCCAACAAGCTGATTTCCGGCCAAAGAAGTCCTGCACAGGTCAGTTACTTGATCTTGTTCAGCACATAGAGGATGGCTTTCCACCAGGTCTACCATGGAAGCTGCTTTCATGGATTTATCTGTGGCTTATGATATAATATCTCCTGATATTATATACCGTATATAGTATCACTTATGACCTTGCTTTGACTAAATGATTGAGGCAATACTTGAAAAATGGCTCTTTTTCATTAACGTCCAGGGGAAAAAAGAATCAGGGAAGAGCCCAGCAACACGGTATCGTGCAAGGAATCTTCTTGCCCTACTATTATTTAATATATATATATTAATGATCGACCTGTTGGTCTTGATACATTGATACATTGTATTTCATCTACACTGATGGTTTGGCACTTACCACTCAGGAACCAACTTTGAGGAGGTGGAAGAGAAACTTACTCTGGCTCTTTAAGAATACGTTGGAATATTATAATGAGAATGGACTAAAATCTAATCCATCAAAAACTAATGTCTGTGCAGTCTATCTTAAAACAGGCAGGCCAGATATAGGTTTAATATTTGGAATGGAGTGAGTCTGGTAGTGTGAGATACTATGTTATCTTGGTGTTACACTGGACTGAACATTAACCTTTAAAAGATATTATTGCAATTTAAACAAAAGCTGACCACTCTCAATAATCTCCTTAGAAAATTGGCTGGAACCATTGGAGCACATCCTACTATTCTGCAAATGGCTGCCCTTGCATTATGTTATTCGGCAGGAGAGAATGCTTGCCCTGTCTGGGGCTGATTTGCGTACTTTATATAGGCATCAGAAGGAATGTAGGACAAAATGTGGAATATGGAAATATGGAAATGTGTTATATGATTCAGCACACCTATTATTTGGCTAAGTGCCCCCTACAAAAAGATTGAAATTGAGAAGGAGTTTTGTACAATGCACTGAGATTGTTACTATAGTGAGGGAAAAAAGTATTTAATCCCCTGCTGATTTTGTATGTTTGCCCACTGACAAAGAAATGATCAGTCTATAATTTAATGGTAGGTTTATTTTAACAATGAGAGACAGAATAATAACAAAAAAATCCAGAAAAACATATTTCAAAAAAGTCATAAATTGATTTGCATTTTAATGAGTGAAATAAGTATTTGATCTCCTATTAATCAGCAAGATTTCTGGCTCTCAGGTGTCTTTTACACAGGTAACGAGCTGAGATTAGGAGCACTCACTTAAAGAGGGTGCTCCTAATCTCAGCTTGTTATCTGTATAAGACACCTGTCCACGGAAGCAATCAATCAGATTCCACACTCTCCACCATGGCCAAAACCAAAGAGCTGTCCAAGGATGTCAGGGACAAGATTGTAGATCTACACAAGGCTGGAATGAGCTACAAGACTATTGCCAAGCAGCTTGGTGAGAAGGTGACAACAACTGGTGCGATTATTTGCAAATGGAAGAAACAGAAAATAACTGTCAATCTCCCTCGGTCTGGGGCTCCATGCAAAATCTCACCTTATGGCGTTTCAATGATCATGAGAACGGTGAGGAATCAGCCCAGAACTACACAGGAGGATCTTGTCAATGATCTCAAGGCAGCTGGGACCATAGTCACCAAGAAAACAATGGGTTACACGCTACACCGTGAAGGACTGAAATCCTGCAGCGCCCGCAAGGTCCCCCTGCTCAAGAAAGCACATGTACAGGCCCGTTTGTAGTTTGCCAATGAACATCTGAATGATTGAGAGAACTGGGTGAAAGTGTTGTGGTCTGATGAGACCAAAATCGAGCTCTTTGGCATCAACTCAACTCGCCATGTTTGGAGGAGGCATGCTGCCTATGATCCCAAGAACACCGTCCCCACCATCAAACATGGAGGTGGAAACATTATGCTTTGGGAGTGTTTTTCTGCTAAGGGGACAGGACAACTTCGCCGCATCAAAGGGACAATGGACAGGGCCATGTACCATCAAATCCTGGGTGAGAACCTCCTTTCCTCAGCTAGGGCATTGAAAATAGGCTGTGGATGGGTATTTCAGCACGGCAATGACCCAAAACACACGGCCAAAGCAACAAAGGAGTGGCTCAAGAAGAAGCACATTACAGTCCTGGAGTAGTTTAGCTAGTCTCCAGACCTTAATCCCATAGAAAATCTGTGGAGGGAGCTGAAGGTTCGAGTTGCCAAACATCAGCCTCGAAATCTTAATGACTTGGAGAGGAACTGCAAAGAGGAGTGGGACAAAATCTTTCCTGAGATGTATGCAAGCCTGGTGGGCCAACTACAAGAAACGTCTGACTTCTGTGATTGCCAACAAGGGTTTTGCCACCAAGTACTGTCATATTTTGTGAAGAGGTCAAATACTTATTTCACACATTAAAATGCAAATCAATTTATAACTTTTTTGAAATGTGTTTTTCTGGATTTTTTTGTTGTTATTCTGCCTCTCATTGTTAAAATAAACCTACCATTAAAATTATAGACCAATCATTTCTTTGTCAGTGAGCAAACATACAAAATCAGCAGGGGATCAAATACTTTTTTCTCTCACTGTATACGAGAATAGAATGATAACAAAGATGAGACTCTGAAGTAAAACACCATAATTGGACAGAACTACTTCAGAAGCTGCCTAGATGTGCAGAGAAATAATGGAAAATTTTAAACAGACTGGGCAGACTGCTTGGCTGAAACTAAAGTTTACATAGGAAAATAGGGGTTTCTCCCCGATGAGGCTATTCAGTTTCAAAGATAGTTCAATTTCATTCAATATCCAGTTGAAATGTATATGTTTCATGTATGTACAAACACCTAAACTATCTCATATATGTGTATGAAGGGTGTTCTGTGCCTTGAATGTAATTATTGAATGGATTTTTGCTTGATTGCATTTTTTTTAATGAATTGGACTTTTTTTCCTCTTGTGAGAGACTATTGTTCCTTAACCATCTTTTACTTCAGTCTATATTTTTCCAAAAATCTAATAGCACTTTACTTCACATTCCTCAGTTTAAAACACAATTTGTGTATTAAATGTATCCCACAAAAGAATGTGTTATGCAAATTGAGAAAAGCTCATGGGGAAATGTACTGAACTTAAAAATGCTGGCATCAGTGTTGCTTCAATTTAGATAAGAATTCAGCAGTTGCACGCATAATTTTGGCAATTCCTATTTATGTTGTTGTAGTAAAGTTACAGCTACTGTCTAGTTGAACTGAACAAAATTGGGCTGAATTCCATTTTTTTTTTTTTTTAGCCTGTCTTTATGCGAAAAGACACCAAAAGCAGTTTCCAGTGGCGGATCCGAAACCTGCCATACCCTAAAGATGTCTACAGTGTTTCAGTAGAAAAGGATCAGCGCTGCTGTGTGGTCCACACAACAAATAAGAAGTCAGTAAACAGAGTCACTCACTGTGGGATGAATTTGGGTGTATTTGCAGGTAGTTTGTAGAATGTGGAAATGATTTTAGTTCTCTGTTGTAATATTCTGAATTTTTCTTTTCCTAACAGTTATATTGTTAAAAGTTTTAGCAAAATAATCTGACCTTTTTATAATATTCACACTATGAAGAGTATGTTTTTGAACAAGCTATGGTACTGTATTTTGCACATACCCCTAATGGATAGGTTTGAATGCTATGCTAAATTAAAAAAAAAAAACATTGACAGGACTTAATTTTATGTATGAATCAGGCTATAGTCCTGGAACAAAGAGCATTTGTTTTTCCTACCCTTTCCATTTTTATGCAATCCCTAATATTTACCCAGAGGTGGTGCTATTGGCAAGAGCTTCTATTTTCTGTTTGACATTTATATTAGGCTAAAGTTCTTCTGAGGGCAAAGAGTATAATTAATCAATGACAATAAAAAACTAGGGACATGGTCAGGACTTGTCAAACATTTCACAATAAAGGCCAGACTACATTAACCTTATGGGACATTCTACTTAGCATCTTTGTTATCTCACTGGAACTGGCAGGTACAGAATCAGGTTCCTGAAGTTCAGTGGATTTCCTCTTGAAAGGTAGGAATATTATTTAGTATTTGTTGATTTGAGCAGTCATTAAATATGCTCAGCCTTCTGCAGTCTCATTTTAAATCAGAATCACCTATGAATTTGACTTGTGGTAGATTAAGACAGAGTACTCTTGCATACAAAATACAAGCTTTACTGTAATGACATAGACTGGCATTTACTAAGAAGATGCCTTTCAGAAAGAACTAGACACATTTATGACAAATAAGTCTGTTAGATATGATATTTAAATAAAAACTCAGGGTATAGTATTAAGTAGCTCTAAATCAGTGGTTCTCAACCTTTTTATACCAGCGACCCCGGTCGTAAGCATGCATAGCCGGCAAGGGGCGGCAGCAGGCAGGCCCGGACGCTCCCAGGCGGCCACGGCAGGCAGGGCGACCACCGGCTGGGCCACCAGCTGGCCTAGCCCAAGGCAGGTAAGGCACCCGCTGGGCCCCACACGTGCCAGCAACCCTCCCTGCGCCCGCCGCTGCCCCGCTAGGCTTACCTTGGCCGCCGGCCGTTCGGGGCGGTGGCAGGCAGGCTCAGGTGCTCCCGGGCGGCAGCGGCGGCGCAGGGCGACCACCGGCTGGGCCACCAGCTGGCCCAGCCCAAGGCAGGTAAGGCACCCGCTGGGCCCCACGCGTGCCAGCAGCCCTCCCTGCATCCACCGGCCTCCCACCCCCGGCCCTCTTTTACTTACTTTTTAGTTGCTCAGCAGGGAGGGAAGCTCTGCAGACTGTTCCCCTTGCAGCACCGTTTGCAGACTGGGGCTTTTGGTGGGCTCAGCAGGGCAGAAACAGCCCTGGACAATTCCTATTGGCTTTTGAAAGCCAATGGAATTAGACTCTGTTCAAGAGAGTCTATTCTATTGGCTTTCGAAAGCCAATAGAATAAGAGGGAGTAGCAGAGCTACGGAAAAGGGGAAAAAAATGGCGGAAAAAATGGCGGATCGCGTTGTTTGGCAACCCCCGTGAAATGGTCGATCGACCCCAAATGGGGTCGCGACCCACAGGTTGAGAACCGCTGCTCTAAATTTTAGTTGCAGATAGGCAAAGAATAGGAGAAACCTGTTTCTTTCATATCCCCCTTGAGGCTGTCAGCTAATACTAAAAAGAAGATGCAGTGTTAACCATGTGGCAGATCCAGTAAAAAATTATTTACTGCTTAGTAGCCGAATATAGACAGTGCAACATGTTTTGGACAATTCAGAAGCAATATTGCCATTGCTCCTAGCATATAAAATACAAACCATTATATAGATTTTTGGGGGGGGGGCGGGGTAGGTACCTTAATTCGCATAGACATTTTACATTGCTTGCCTTGCTTGTTGGAAATTCCAGACATGATTGAGTAAAAATTCTAAACTAAATCTCAATTATTCTGTCTACTAAAGGAACCAGGAAAAGTTGGATGAATGCTACAAGAAACAGAGCTTTTACATGATTTGTTCTGACTGGTTGGTGGTGGAACAAAAGACTAGTTCAATCATTCTATTATATATCATTATTCATTGTAACTTGTTCTTTATTGTGAGGAAGGCAGAAGATAAAATAACTTCGATTCAGATACCTTGTCCTTTTTGCTAAAGCAACAGAAGCAGTGCATGTATGTCTGCATTTTATTCATTCTTCCATACATTATTCTACTGTTTTATCGAAACTGGGATTTTTATGAAGTCTACATTGGAACTTGGGGATTTCTACCTATTGCTAAACTGGTAGCCAGGTTCTCCTTTTTCCAGATATGTCTAACAGTATTAAAAAAAATTTCCCTGTGTTGGGCTGCTGATGGATGCAACCTCTTCCCACTTCCACCCGGGACCAGCTCACAGGTTCCCAATCCCCATATTACATAATTTTCAATTCATGTTAGTGCTTGCAGCCTGATCATGTGAGAGATTCTAGTTAGTCCTTTATGGCAGGAATGGGCAGCCCACAGGCTGCATGTACTACCCCCAGCCTCCTGAGATATATTACTAAAATGGTTACCAAAAGTTTCAATTTTCAGTAACGTTTGTTTCTATTTTGTTCCTTTTGGATAAAGATGAAAATGAGAGGGGAAATTCTAGGTAACAAATCACCCAAATGTCCCACTTTTAAATTCCTCCCAAACCCATTTAAAATTGTGAATGGTGAAGAAGCTTCTTGGATGAAAAGCGTAACATCTTCAAAGAAAAACAAAGTTCAGTTGCCTTGTGATAATTTCAGTTGCCTTTTGGGATGTTGTTGTTCGTCCATTGATTTCGATGAAGACCTTGACATCTTGTGGGTTGTGGGCCATCAATGATGTGTCTGTAGGTGGCTAATAAGACCAATGTTAGCACAGAATGTTCTGCCACATACTGAACAAAGAAATGTAGACACTGTTAATTCAGCATTTGCAACTCTGGCTTTGCGGAGTGCTCGCTTTTCTTGTGCCAAGATTGTCCTTCTGTGTTCATATGTCTGGCAACCCTGGTACACCAATGTGCGCCATGTCGGTCAATCATGTGCCAGAAGTTCCCAAGAGATGGTGTTAATATCCAGGGACTTAAAAGAAGCTTTTAACATGTCTTTGTATTGCTTCTTTTGTCCCCCGTGTGATTGCTTTCCTTGAGACAGCTCACCATAGAAGAGCTGTTTAGGGATGCGATGATCTGGCATCCTTACAACATGGCTCGCCCAGCGCATCTGGGCTTTCATCAACAGAGTGTAAACTGATGATAGACCTGCTTTGGAGAGGACTTCTGTGTCTGGTATCTTATCCTGCCACCGGATCCTCAGAATTCTACGAAGGCAAGTCATGTGGAAGTAGTTCAGTTGTCTAACATGCCTCCTGTACACTGTCCAGGTCTCACTAGCATACAATAGGGTAGTTAGCACTGCTGCCTGGTAAACTTTAAGCTTGGTAGCAAGACTTATTCCACGGCGGTCCCACACGTTAGTCCGCAATCTACCAAATGCAGAACTTGCCTTGGCAATTCTACAGTTGACCTTGATGTCAATTGTCACTGCACGGGAGAGGGTACTACCAAGATACGTAAATTGGTCCACTGCTTGCAGCTTTTGTCCCTTTAGTGTGATGGTAGGCTCTTGATATTGGGCTTTTGGAGCTGGCTGGTATATCACTTCAGTTTTCTTCGTGTTGATGAAGAGGCCAAAGTTGTCACAAGTGGCTGCGAATTTGTCCATGCTGGCTTGCATTTCCTGCTCCAATCCTGCATTAAGGGCACAGTCATCAGCAAAGAGGAGATCTCGTAGCACAGTCTCCTTTACCTTGGTGACAGCCTGAAGTCTTCGCAGGTTGAACAGTTTCCCATCGGTTCTGTACCTCAGATTAACTCCCACTGAGCTGTTCTGAAAGGCGTCTGACAGCATGGCTGAGAACATCATGCTGAACAGGGTTGGTGCCAGCACGCAGCCTTGCTTAACGCCATTAGTAACAGGGAAGGCCTCTGAGGCTCCACCATTACTCAGAACACGAGCCACCATGCCATCATGGAACTGTCGTACCATCAGAATAAACCTGTCAGGGCACCCAAACTTCGACATAATGCGTCACGACTAACTGTGTCAAAAGCCTTGGTGAGATCCACGAAGGTGGTGTATAGTTCACGATTCTGCTCCTGACATTTCTCCTGGAGCTGTCGAGCTGCAAATATCATGTCCACTGTCCACTGCCTTTTGGGATAATTATGACTTGGATGACTGAGAATCTCCACAGACATTCAAAATTGTATCACTTAATTCAGCCATTTACTGTCAAATTTAAGCAGTAGTAGTTTAGGGTAGGGTCAGGGATTCAGGATAGAAATAAGGTATAGGCTGAAAAATTGATTCAGTCCCTTCTTCTGATGTCATTTTCAGCTGGTAGAAAACAATTGGGGCCTATAATCACGAGAAAGCTGTCTACCTTTGCTTTAGGAAAAGGGAGGACAATGTCATAATCTTATGACAATTAGAATTTTAGCAGATGCAGGTTTTCCCATAAGATATAACAGGAGAAACCTAGAGTTACTCAATGGTTACTCTGCAATTGTAAAGGTGAAAGAGAAGATAATTTCCCAAAGGACCTTAAAAAGAAAATATTGCCACTTGCTTCTACTCATTCAACAATGCCCCCTCTAGCCTCAGCAAAAGGCTGCTGAAGTGGAATTTGATTCAGTCCTCTTGCTGTAAAACAAACCCATTGAAGCAAACTTCCAAACAAACAGTCAAAGCGTCCTTGGCCACAGCAGATTCAATTATTGCAGGACAAGGTAGCAGTTAACATTACGCTGGAAGAGGCAAAACAGCAGATCTATTTTCCTTTGATCTTTCACAGATTTTAGTTGGAGCTCAGACCAGGTATTTTTCCCACTGCCTCAGCCCTATTGGTGGTGGTGGTGGGGGATAAAGTTAGTGTTCTCAGTGTGGGCTTCATAGGCTCTTTGAAACACCGGGCTACTTTTGGGAGTTGCTTTTTTATTGTCTCAATCAGTAAGAAGTTAACACTTCCTTAACTTGTCTTTTGTGTTTATCTAATCTTTGCTGTTTAACCTTTGACATCTCCATTATTATCCATGTCTGCCACCTTTCCCAAATATAAGCAAAAGACTCCAAGCCCTGGGGTAACATTCCTCTTTAGCAGGCAGTTAGCCCTGGCTGGTTGGCCTTTGTATGCATTTTCAGTAGGATTTGGAAAATAAAAGGTTTATGGTTTGTGTAGCACTAGTTCAACCAGTCAACCTCTGGACAAAACTAACTTAATGGAGAAGGATTGTTCATTTTAGGGCACCAAATATGCATCAATAAGTCAGCATAATTCATAAAGGAAAAGTTCCAGCCCCCAAAGGAACTAAATGGCAGTCATATTTCATGAGAAGAAAGCATACTGGCCTTCCATCTTAAACTAAAAATAGCAGAAGATGATCATTCTAAGTACCTGATAGGTATGAGGGTGTAGGTGCCATACATAATCAAGGTGATCAAACTAAACGAACATTCAAACTCTTACAGTATCCTATCTAATTCTAATTCTTATGAGCGATAATGATCTGTTTAGTAAGTATCCCACAATAAAGTTTGGGAAGCACACTTTTTGTGCCTTTAATTCCTGGTAACTGGATTAGTTTTCTTGGCAAGATTTTTGGAAATGGTTGCCACTGCTTTTTTGGCTTCCTCTGTTTTCTAAAAAGAATGGTGCTAGCTATTGTAGTTCTTATATGGCTGTATTTAAAAATAAAATCTACTGGTCAAATTAATAGTGACATAGTCAGATTTTTAAATATAACTCAATTAGTTTATGTATTTATATATTTTACTATATTAAAAATAATTCTAAGTGGAATCTTGCAGCCTGAATGGAAGATGCTCAGCTTCTAACTCTTGGAGCAATCCTGAAATTTCTTTCATGTAAAAATATAATTTAGATATTATTTATCTTCTACTAGTGAAAAAATGAATAGTCTTTATTTTCATGTCCACATTTACTTTCAGATACTACAAGAAATTCACTATTCCTGATTTGGACAGATTCCAACTACCTTTGGACAGCACTGCTTTGACTTTTACTCATGCCAACAATACATTGATCATCACAGTAAGTTCTCATAAAGCTAATCTGACACCATTAGCATATTATTGTTTTCAGCCCTCTTTTGCTATGCTGCCTTTACAGGTAGTCTTCATCTTAAAACCATTCAGTTAATGACTTCTCAAAATTACAATGGCACTGAAAGAAGTGATTTATGACTGGGTTTCACATTTGCAACCATTACAGCATCCCCATGGTCACGTGATCAAAATTCAGGGGCTTGACAACTGATATGTATTTATGGCAACTGCACTGTCCCAAGGTCAATGTGATCACCACTTGTAACCTTCCCAGCTGGCTTCCAATAAGCAAAGTCAAAGGGGGAAGCCTGATTCACTTAACAACTGCAGTGATTTGCTTAACAACTGTGGCAAAAAAAGTCACAAAATGAGGCACAACTCACTTAACAATTGACTCGCTTAGCAGTGGAAATTTTGGGTTCCATTCAGTACTACCTGAATAAAACTTGAGTAAATATACATGAAGAACAATGGCCTTTGGATGCAAATTAAGAATCAAAGCTATCCCGGTTAGGCTTATGACAAAAAAAAAAAATCATGCTGCTATTTCTGCTTCAAAAGATAACTAAATATTTTTCTTTCTAACTTGAAACAATTGTTGTTTTTTTCAATGATATTTACAATGATGCAGATTTTAAACCTGAACTAAAATGTGCATTAAAAGGAATATGTTTGAGATACAGCCTTATGTTCTAGGTATTATATCTTAAATGGCTGAAAAATGAATCTGAGAGCATGACATTCCAATCATTTTTATTTTTTTCAATGCTCCTTCTCTTTTCAAATGAGGCACTTCATTATAGCAATTCTGTTTGCGCTAACAAGAGATTCAGGCTATTTTCTTTCCTATAGTATCAAAAGCCAACAGAAATACTGGCTGCAGAAGAGGAGCTGCAAAAAGAGCTAAAGAAGATCAAAGCTTCTAATAATGGGGAAGGAGACTGCAAGACACAGTAGTCGACAGTTGTGAAATGCATTGTCTGTACTTTTATTAAATAAATGTGCTGAACGGGGATCATTCATTCCATTTATACCCTACCACAATTCTAGAGAACTCTTGGCGGATTACAAACATTAAAAACTGCAACTGAATAGTATCTAAAAACCTAAACTGGAAAATGCAAAAATCCAAAAAGGGCCTCTTAAGGGGTGGGCAATATATCACAATCTCTTTATGGCTCCCAGCACCACCTATTCTGGTAAGAAGGCATTGGCAATCTTCCAGATCCAGGGAATAAGGCCCACCCACCCCTAACTATCCTCAGTATGCCCATGTGGTACCCATGCTTTCCAAGCTGCATTGGTTACCAGTTTGTTTCTAGGTGCAATTCAATTTGCTTGTTACTGGAGGGACTGTGATGTCAACCCAGCTGATTCAGTCTGGCAAAGGTAATGTACTACATGTTCCTTTGATCAACCAATGGAAGCCTTCATTAATCATATTGGAACTTTATGATCTTTCTCTGTCATGGTGCATTCCAGAATATGATTCCTCTTTAGATCCAGAGGGCTCTCATCCTGATGGCATTCTGGCAGGCCTTAATGACTTGGCTGTGCTCCCAGGCTTTGGGCTAGGGCAGGGATGTCAAACTGCTGGCCCGCAGGCCAGATACATCATAGCAAAACCGCACCCATCCCAGTACTGGCAACGGCAAAAAAGTTGTGATATATCACGACACGCCACGTGACATTGCGAGTTTGACACCCCTGGACTAGGGTGATTGGATCCCCTTACTAGGTGTCTGATACATATTGTTGACCAGAGGTGCTATCTTCTGTATTGCTATGTCTCTTTTTGCATTATATATTTGTTGCATTGTTTTATCCTTGAGGAGCCCTGAATCAATTGGAGACTACATTGATTAAAATAAATATCTAAAGCAACTGTGAGAGACAGAGATCCAGACCATAGGTAACAGAGGGCATCTTAGAGAGCACATAAAAAGTTCCAGTTAACCTGGCAAGACATTCCAGTCAAAACTCTAAACAATACCAAAGCACTGGTGCAGGCTCAAATCTGAGCACATAATTGTGCTCAATTTCATTCTTCATACTCCTCCACTTACTCTCTGGGCACTGCTGTCTCAACTCCCACTGACAATCCAAAACCCATCAGCCACCAAGGATAGGCCCAATATTGAGTAGCTGCTTAGAAGCAGTTTCACTGAGGGCTCATGAGGGCTTGTTGCCTACGTTGAGAGCAGCGAACCAGGCACTCGGTAGACTCACACGTCACATCTTTGGGAAAAATCAAGTGCCCACCAGAAACTACTCAGATCCAAAAGTGGCTGGGGTGGATCCTCTGAATGGGCATCACCTTGGAAGTCATGGGTAGTCATCAATTTATGCTAGACCAGGAAGTATCTAATCATGACAAAGGAGTAATAATACTGTCCATATCCAGATCTAAAGTGGTCTGAAGCAAAAACTAGGTGCAATATGAGGACAAGCCCATGTTATCATGAAATGGTCAGCTTGGTATCTGCCATATTACCCTTGGCACAGAATTGCCACAATATAGCAGTTACACTCCGATTCCACACAGATTGCTCACCTCATGTAAGATCTGGTATGAATCCAACTCCCAAACTTAAACTTCACCTGTTAACAAATTTATCCATGGAATCAGCAGCCTGGCAAACCACTAGGCCAAATCCCTAATCACTTAGATCACTTAAAATTAGTGACCACTTTCTTTAAAACAAGATTGCTGATTCCAGTTGTGGTTGCTAAATGAGGACTATCTATAATCTAGTATACCAATAAGAGGGGAGATAAACGTAGTACACAGACTTTCTTCCACTATGCTAGATACTACCTCCTTATCTCTCTGATCCTTCCCCTTACTGGGAATCAGTATTTCTTCATTTCTCTTGGCTCTCACCTGAGGGACTGCCCGTTCTAGTTACTGGAGAACAAATCACACATACACAACAGCAGCAGCATATCACCAAAACATTGCTAGCATAGGAGTCCCCCAGGAAACTACACTCACCATCTTAGGCCTAGCAAAACTGCATTACTATTAGGTGTGATGCCAAGACTCCTTGCCCAACTGCCAGCAATCTGAATGCATCACATTCTGCTCTCTATCAGCTGGCCATTCTTAGGTACCACAATGGCTGCTTTGGGTAAATAATCAGAGACTAAAATCCCCACCTTCTGACAGTTCATCAAAGCCCTTCAATCTGGCCACTTAATGGAGAAGGGCCTTCCTGGAAGTTTCAAATCTAGTCCTATCAAAGTAGTTTCCTTCCAGTATGGTACCGCTATCCTCCCTGTTGTAGTAAGACTGGGAGATCAAGAATAATAGTTCTGTTCCATTTCTGTCACTGTCAGCACTGCCATACATGGAAATCCCTAAGTTAAATCTCAGTACCACCTCCTAATATCTGCTTTTAAGGTCTGTTTGCACAATTACATAACCCCTTTTTATACCATGGTATGTGGCTTGTCTTACATTTTTATTACTGATACTGAGGCCCTACTAAGTTTATCTGTTACAGCATATCAGAATTTGAATCATAGACAGTGATGACCATATCCAACTATTTTGTTTTAAAATAGATTTTCATGATATTGTCCTTGTTTCCCAATCCCTCATGTATGGAAGAATATTCAGAGTTTATAATCCAGTTTGTTCATCTCTCATTCTACTAAAAACTATTTCCCTTTTGCCTCAATTACACCGATTTATATATCAGACATTAATGAAATGAATGTGTTTCAGACACTGCTTTTTCACTCAATTCTACAAAAAGAACATATTTCTGTCTTACATTGTATTAAATTGTTTAACAATTTAATCATTGCAATTAGAATAAAAAGTAATGTGAGGCATTCCTGTTGGCTGTTTTGGCCAGCCAATACCTATTCTATTCCCATATTTTCATACTGGTTTCTTATTTTTAATGTCTGCAAACTTTTGAGTCCCCTAATAATTTCTTATTTGATGATATTCCTACCTTAAACGGTATCTTATTTAAACTCATATGTACAAGAAGGGGAGTGCATTGTTCAGAAACACTCTAGTGTTTAGAGAACACTGTCTTTAGAGTATTAGTATTCAGGGTATTTCATTTATAAATACAGATGTTTGATGAGAGTGGCCAGAATACCACCCCATGTTTTTGCATCTTCTCTCAGAATTATGCAGATGTTTTTTCAAGTATTAAAAAAAATCCTCCTTTATCTTCACAATTGTGGTAATTTTTCAGGAATATTTATTCTCAGCTTGCTGTGTACATCTTAGATAAGTTAAGTAAATCATGGTACTGAATAAAAGTCAAATGTGACTATTCAGTTACTTTTTGCAATCAAAGATACATTTTGTGTGCTACTTTAATAATTTACTCAATACCAGGCCTGTCAGCATTGATCCAATAAAGCAGTTCTTATATGGTGCCAAACAATAATATTTATACTTGATTTAATTTACAGAGAGTCAACCAAGTTTCCAATCTTATGGCCCAATATTTATTCATGAAAAAAACTGGATGTCAGTAAAGCAGAAATAAAATATTTTCTTCTACTTCACTGTCCAGATACAGTTCCTTCCTCTTTAATTAAATTACCACAATGAAATATATGAACATGCAATATTCAGAAGCCCAAACTATGCTGGTACCAAAGAATATGCACACACTAAGAGTTACTGAACTTCTAGGCATAAGAAAAGTAACCAAAATCAAAAGTGTACAAAATATTGGGTTGGAAAGATACATTAGATTTTACTAACACCAGAAGGCAGAAATGGGATGTTCTTTACCAACTGCTGTTTTATTGTCTTAAAGATGTTATTATTATTATTTTTTGTGCTCCCTGAGTCTGAAGTCCGAGCATATCATGTCAGGAGGTAGTGAAATCAAGGACATATAGTGCTGATGCCAGTGTTGCATAGAGATGAGTGGTGCTGAAACGTAGACAGTATACAGGACTGCTGATAGGGGATGACAAGGAGAAACTCTGCAAAGTAGTAAGAAAAATACTTCTAGATAAGTTATTTTAAAATTAAAATTTTAACAAAGTGACAAAATGACAATCATGTAGCATCTTCACAATTCAATTTTGTAAACCTGCATCTATTGTAAATTTGTAATTCTTTTCTACTGTACTGCAAAGAAGTATTAGAACTGGGCTAAGGCAATATATATATACAGCAATCATAACTATAACTATCTTCAGTAATTATTTCTGGAGCTACACTGAATAAGAATACACTGTTCATAGGCAGTCTTTGGCCTGATACTATTAGTTCAGCAACTGTTCAAAGTTATGATGGTGCTGAACAGTTGTGGCTATGACTGGTTCTCAGAGTTTTGGGCATCCTAGCACCCCCACAGTCATTTGATCTTGATTTGGGCACTTGGCAACTGGCTCACAGGACTGGCTGCAGCACCTGCAATCACAGAAACACTATTTGCAATCTTTTCTGCTGGCTTCTCTAGAAAGTTAGTGAGGAAGCTGGCATGGAAGGTTGCAAGATGTTGGAGTAAGTCTCTCCCACCCATGTACTCAGTCCTTTTGGGCTTGTGCTGCACTCCTTCCCTAAGCTCTAACACACCTCCCTTGCAGCCTCAAGCATCCCTGCAGACCCTTCCCAGACCCCCCCCCGTGAAGTCTCCCTAGGCCTTACCATGCCTCCCTTGCACCCTCACCTTCTTCAGACCCTCACATACTCTCCACTCAAGCCTTGCTACACCCCTCACACCATTGTGCGTCCTTGCCAAGACTCGCCTGCCTGACAGCCTGCTTGCGAGCCACCTCTAGCTTCCAACTCCTTGCCAACTTCATCACTGCCTTGATTGTGGGAAGCCGGCAGGAAGTTTCCTCACTTAACGACCATGGGATTCAGTTAATGACAGCTGACACTGCAGGGATTGCCATTGCTAATCAATGGAATTGAAGTTTATGACTCTATTTTTTAGCAATGGAAATTCCAATCCCAGTTGCCACTGCAAGTCAAGTCTACTTGTTATTATCCCAATGCCACATACATGAGTTTCATTATTCATGCCACATCTTCTCTCCCCAAATCTACCATTCTATCATGTTTATTTGAAAAGCATTAGGAATAAGCAAAAGAACACATTATCCCACTTAGTCACTGTAAGGCAATTTAAATATAGTTCTCTTTATAATCAACTTTTGGGAACATTGTGATGATGCCTCACCTGCAAGCATCTCGTTTGTCGTTTGTCCCAAAGACGTACCACTCCATAATAAGAGGAGCCACTTGCAATCATATGACTTCCATTGCTTCTAATGCAATATAGGGCACTGTCATGTGGTTCTTCCCATTTCTTCACACATTCCCTGGGAAGTCGATGGTAAACAAAATACTGTGAGATAATGTTAGAATATTTTTCACTAAATACTATTTGTCAGTTCTTGTGACAAGGGCCAGTTTGCAGTGGTTAAGGCATCAGGCTAGAAACAGGGAACTGAATTCTAGTCTCACCTTAATCACAAAGCAGTTGGGTAACTTATCCCTAGGAAGGGGGCAATGGGAAAACACTTTTGAAAATATCACCTAGAAAACTGCAGGGGCTTGACCAGGCAGTTACCAGAAGTCTATTTTGTCTTGAAGGTAACAAATTTGTGACTAGTGTGGATTGTTAACAAGTCATCTTGAAACAGCTATCAAATAAGTATTTCCCCCCCAAAAAAATTTTAAAGCAAGATTCCAAACTAACTTTGTGCTTGTTCTTAAATCCCAGTATCTTATGTAGGTATCATATCCACAAGAGAGCAAAGTTGAAGGTGTTTCATAGAAAACATCCAAGACTCCAGCTCCTCTGTGGAAATCTGTTCCAAGACAGGTGATCAGCTGCCCACTGAGGAGAGAAACAAAAATTAAACTCCAGTGCTTACTAACTATGTATCATGGGTATTACCCGAGTTTTTATCTTCACATAGATTTTCAGTAACAATAAAGAAGTGGAGTAAGGCCAAATAAGTGCAGATTAGGAAAAAAATATCAATCATTAGTTGTACAAAAGTGTATCAGATTAAACAAGTATTAGCCACTTTCAGTTTAAAATTATAAAAGCCATTACTCAGTTCTGTTTCTAGCACTATTCAGGCTTTAAGCATCTTTTATGAAGAGCAAGCACAAGTACTATTTATACAGCTATACTGATTTATTAAATTTAGAAAATACAGTAGACAGAGAATTAAGGGAAAGTATTATTTATTGTAACTGATAGTCCACATGTGAGAAGTGCAATTCTTTTGGATATTTATATTATGTTCCAAGTTCTCTGGAACTATCTATCCATGACAATATGCTGCCTCTGGATCAGGGAGAACATTTATCCAGTGAATGAATAGTACTTACTAAGAATAATAATTTTCAACAAATAATGGCTCATTTTAAAAAATTCCCTGGTAGATTGAAGGAATATTTATTTGCTATATAAAATCTCACACATGCTGAAGATATCTAGATTCTCCAAGACCTCTATCTATTTTTATTTTTCTGTTAATAGTCCTAAGAACAAGGCATAAATGCAAGCAACTGTCCCCTTTTATCTATCAATACCAACACAAATCGAATTACTATATATTATAACTGGAAGCCAACGATAATCTATATACTAAGAGTTTAAAACTGAAAAGAAATCTTATTTTGAAGGTCTACTTTCTTCAAACTTTTCTCCTTCCCATGCATTTTTTAAATATATGTATTCTGCTCAAAGACAGATATATAGTCTGTTCACTCTAAATATCCTATATTCTCAAAAAAACCCCACCTTTTTCTTCAGCCTACTTTTTACATATAATATGGACAACAGAAATGACAGTATTTGGGGTTTTTTTCCTCCCAATTCCTCAAATTGGACATTCCTAAGGAAACTATGCAGACCCTTACAATACTTGAATTTGAAGGATCTAAACAACCTTCTCTCGCTTATAATCCTGCATGAGTATTGATTTTAGAATGGTTGCAGGAAATAATGCAGCTGAAATTGGAAGGAACAAAGTCACCAATAATATTAATTCCCTTCCATTGTCCTCCCGCGGTATATAATGGAAAAGATCATTGAGGATTAAAAATAATTCACTGAAAGGCTATTTTGGCACAAATAACCAATTTCACAATCACTGCTCAAGTTTGCAGAATTTTTTAGAGCTTTTTTCCCCACAGTGTTACAGGTAGTCCTTGAGTTAATAGCAATTGGGACCAGGATTGGCATTGCTAAACAATGCAATGTAAAATGTAGGTCCTGGTTGTTCTGTGTGAGTCACTAAGTGGGAAGCAGCAGGAGTCCCAGGTAAAGAATGCAGGAGTGCCACAGGTAGATGGGGAGGCCCAGGGAGGCCTGGCACAGGCCACATGTGAGTTGAGGGAGGAGATGCTGTTGTGTGGTGCAAGCACAGGGAGATTAGGGAAGGGGGCACAGGTTTAGGCAGGCCTGGGAAGGAAGGTGGAGGATGCATGAGAGCTAAGAAAGGCCTAAGGAGAACGTTAGTATAGAGAAGTCCGGGGAACAAGAATGCTGGTTGATTTGTGCAGGTGAGCAAAGGTGTGTATGTGCAAGCAAAGAAAGGCTAGGAGGCAGGGAAGTCTTACCCAGTTGGCTTGTGGACTTCTCTGCTGGCTTTCCCATTGACTTTTCTTGCTGGAAGCTGGCAGAGAATGTCACAAATGGCAGTGACTCAACCACGGGATGCAAGAGCGAACTGATTGCCAAGTGCCCAAATTTTGTTCATGTGACCACAAGGGCACAGCAATAGCCAGGACTCTGGGGACTAGTCATACGTTCCTTCGTTCAGCAACGCTGTAACTTCAAGTGGTCACTGAACAAATGGTTGTAACTCAAGGATTACTTGTACAATTAAAAAAAAGCATAGTGTTAATTGCAGAACCTGAGGATGTATTTAAAATGTTTAATCTTAATTTTATTATTGCCACCGATCATAATACATGTAATCACGTCACAATTGCCAGTCCTTTAGCTAGTGTTCTTCCCTAGAACATGGGATTATTATTATTATTTTAATCTGGAAAAGTCATACATAGGATACATTTTAGGTTTTACATGCCCCGGGACAAATCAAGAATGCAACACTATAAAAAGTTAAGGTAGACCAAAAGAATATGCAAAACAAAATAACAGAAGGACAGCTGAGTAAGGTCCTTAAAAGGTCTGTCTGGCACAAGGTTCTCTGATTAATTAATGCATATTCCTAATTGAGAACCAACATGTCCCATCTGTCCTCCCCCTCCCCAAATCTCCTTTACAAGAGAAAGCCAGGCTGCCACAATTCTCACTAACATTCAGACAACGGCATCCAATGAAGCTCATTCAGCCACTAAAGACTCCCATGTTCCCAGCCCTTCTCCTCCTCCTCCCTAACAGTCTAATCAGAACTGGACACAAAGCACTGAACGCCTTTTCAGACTAGCGCACTGGCTCTCGGTTCATGGGACAATACAGCCTCCACTCCCTAAAGCAACTACTCCCCCCCACCCCTAGTTATTTTGTTACTTTCTGCTCCTTGATCCCATATCAGTCTTTCTGGGGCACCCGAGCCAGAGGCCTAATTCCATCTGTAATCTGGGCTAAAGCTCCATGGGGGTGGGGGGTGGGGATAAAGACCACACAATAGGTGAAATAGAGTCCCAGGAGATGTTCAAACAAGTAAACACCGTTGTGTCAGAGAAGCAAAACTGCTGAGAAAGCAGATTAGTACCAGCAGCACTGGTATCCCCCAGATCAGAAGGTGACCCTACCCGTTCACTAGAGCCAACACGCTTCTGTGATCACAGTACCGACAACATGCTGGGACCAGTCCATCTCCCCCAGTCACTCTCCAAAGAGCAGATTACAGAGAATAACAATTTCTTTGTGGCTGTGTAATTCCCTCCGTGACCGTGACTATGGGCCACTCCATTGGACCTCAATGCCAGGGCCTTAGCAACCATTTAGCAAGACCAGTCGGCCCTAGCAATGCTCCCCCCAAAGCAAACCTCTCGGACAAGCTTTAACATCAAGTATAGGAATTAATCCTCATCTCTTTCCCCCATTCTGAAACCTGAATCCAGGGGTGCTGTGTTATTACTTTGTATTTCTCAAGGCAGGAATTGCTGGACAAGCTGTTAAGATATTAACTCTTGGAGGGAAGAAGTATAGCCAGTTTGCTTTACAAACCTATGTCAAGAAGTAATGACATCTATAGTTCAAAAAGGAAGTAAGTAGAATTCCATCATCTTAGAAAAAAAAGCGGACCCGAAGAAGAAATTTTTACAAATCGGTTAGAAACTGTAAAACTGAGGTTTGATAGGCTTGATACTAGGCACCATGCCTAGTAATCATGGCCAGGTATACAGCCTCACAGAGCCATCCATGTTAGTGCAGCCTGGATTCCTTCCTCTGCCTAGTGCTAGAAATGCTGAGCCTTGCTTTCCTGTATTCCCTTAAAATGGGGAACAACTAATAGGGATGCTTCTTTACCTATAGGGGAAAAGCATCTTGATGAACTGAAAACATTTTTCTATCTGTTTAAATAAACCCAAGTGAATCAATCAGATGGGAAATGTGGTAGTGAAAGTTATCAGATATGTTCTCCAGATTTTAGCTGCAAAATCTGGAAAAATTTCACTTTGTAAAAAAAAAAAAAAAGTCTAAAATGCCATGCACATGATTGCTCATAAAGCAGACAGATGCCCCTTTGTCTAGTATGAGGAACATGTGACCCTCTGTTGGATTCCTAAGCCCATTAGCCTTAGCCAATTGCACCTATAGTTAGGGATGATGAGAACTATAGTTCATCTCAGGAGGGCAACAGGGATCCTTTAATTTCTCTTTAATTTCAATTGGCACTGTTCCTCAGCTGGATATGCTTAAAGAATATCACTCTTTACTTTTTCAGTATTCAACAGAACGGATATAAAGAAAAAATAAAATAGAAAATAGAATAAAATAGGGGGGTTTTTTTAGTTTAAGTTACCAAAAGGTTTAAAAGCAAGAATTGGTATAATAGACGATCCACAAATGCAGAAATGTGGGCTGCTTCTGTAAATTGTATTATATAGGATACGGATTTTGAATTCTTGTTTTGCCTGGTTAATTCTAATATGAGAGAAATAGCTAAACACTTTTAACATTTAGGATTAATATCACTATCATCACAATTTTTGATATTACACTAATCAACATTAGAAGCAAGATGCAGAGGATTCATAATAGTGCTGAATAAATAACTGCCCCTTCTCATTCACCAAATTTTGTTAGAGTTCCAGACATTATCCTCCATTAATAACCTCCCTATTTTTACTGTTTATTCTTTTTTCTTTCAAAGAAAAAGAAGCGGGGGAAGGAAAACAGCATTTTTAAAACCCTGTGATTGACAGCCTCAGAAAGTCTTTTTCATTTTCAGACAAGACAGGCAGATGCTGACTGAGGTTCATCCGATATGATAGAGGCCTTGCCTCTGATACAGAGATGGCATTTCAGTATGGAAGCATAACATTGGTATGTTCTACATCTCCATTTATGAGATCCCATTACTGTGAGGCCTATACTGTAACTATTCCACAGGAACTTGCTTTATCCTGGCAAGAGATATTCAGCATTTACAAGTGCCCATTTTCTCTTTTGTCCCAGACTTGGCTTCCCATCAGCATGCTCCTCACCTATATTCCAGGCCACAAAAGAATAAAATTTAAAGCTGATGGCAGATGGAACAGTTTAACTTTAAGAGTTAATCCTGAGACCTCTCATTTATATATAAAAATATTTCAGAAAAGTTAGCTATAATATCTGCAAATGCAATAATCTTCCTAATAACAGGATTATTGTATCATAAATTGTTATTAAGATGGAGCATA